AATAGTCTTCTACAAAAAGTTAACCTTGCTATTTAAAGTATTTAATTTCGGCAAGGTAATATTACAATATTTGCTTCGCTTCTGAAAATTCTGCTCCATATGCATCTGTATTTGGAAAATGGATCAACCCTGTGATAGTTTGTGGACCGAAAAGTATCTGTAAAACAAAGAGCCACAAATTTTGCCTGTTTTTACTTCCCTTTATAAATATATGATTTAACAAGAAAAATTTACATTGAATTGAGAGCACCAACCTGATTACTAGAGTACCCTTTTCCACTTTCGTGAAAGATAAAAATTTACCATTAGCTGATTCGGTATTGCAAACAAGAGAGGTAAATGCGTTTTCTTCTACCAAGCATGCCATAAATACTACCAAATTGCTTTCCGTCTAAAATAAAAACATTTCTTTCTAGGAATGTCCTCGCTTTCATATTGCCTCGTTCTGATTGTTACGTTCAACGTCACGCATTTGCCCCCTATGCTTGGTTATACAGGAAAACTATTGATTGAAAGTTATAAGTAAGAATATTCTTTCCATCAAAGAATTAAAAGAGCTTCCCTAACTTTTCTGAGACAGAACTGAAAGTTTCTTTGCTAATGGTATGCAACCAAAGTTCCGAGTTCCTTATCAGCTGTTTCTCGTCTCATAATAAGTGTGTGTCTGTGAACAACGATTGAAGATTATCCAATGCAACAAACTTTGAATCATTACAAATGTATTGCATCAGTAAAGGATTCAAGCTATCAATGACATATCGCAACGCATTCAATAACTGTTTGTTTTCGACCACGTTTTTAACTACATGGTTATCTGATAAAACCTTTGTCTCTGTGGTTTGATTAAATGTTATTTACAAGCACAAAAAGTGGGTCCAGCAGCGAACTATGTAGAGTAATCTTCCTGCACTAATCAAGAGTATGTGGCTCAGTTAACGAGGAAATCTTTTCAAAATGGAAGCTTCAATAAACCTTGTAGCACTGGGCACAGATCATGGAGTCTTTTAAAAAGAGGGGTGGCTACGGATCCTTATAGTGTTCCTCAAGGCTCTGTTCTTGGCTCTATATTTATTAAGCTTTTACAAACGTACTGGGGAATGTGTAGTCATTAGTTGCCCTTTGATTGTCATAGACAGCTCCAGACTATGTAGGAACTGTTAACTCGGGCCACAGTCAGATTTTCGTTACTGCTTCCTTGAAATGAAGTATAAAAATGTCACTAAAGATGTAGAGTAAATAGTTTTAAGTAAGTTTTAAAGCTTTATCTACTTTTTGGAAGGCGCCTGAATATCAATCTTTGAAGATTAGCTGGAGGAAGAAAACAACGATTTTTTTTTATTTAATTTGTTGCCTTGAATGAAACTTAAAAAGAGTTAGAGCATGAAGAAAATGGGTCATGTTTGTTCATTGTTCATTACCATACACACTTAAATACATACATGGCTTAAAAATAAATAGGCGACCACTACACGTTTGAGACATACGGCAAAAATATTGCTTACACGTGGGTAGTACTACCATCTATAACAGCACACTTTTTCTCTATTTTCTAAAGTATTCTTAAACGTTAGCACACAATGAACTGACTAAAACGCAATTGTGCAGATATCCGACCGAACGCAAGGAAGGTTCTGTTACGAACTTGGGCAAACACCAGTAACTAGCAAGGGGATGGTGTCACATCATGGAATGTAACAAAAGGGTTAATCAAGATCTGAGCATATTGTGACGACAAGGTTGATATAGTTAATGCTGAATCAAACTATTTCGTGATTTCCACAACTGAAATCAATATTAGTCAAAAACTTTACTTCCCCTGTGATGGCAAAATAACGGTCAAATATGGTCGGTACTATCTGCAACAAACGCCTATCTGACATTTACAATACGTAAAGAGCTCTAAAAGACATCCAGCAACGATTACATTGCTGCACTATTTCTTGTTTGGCTAAGATAAACGCCTTTTATGATTAACGTTGGCAGTTCAGTGTTCTCCTCATATCCCCAAACTTACCACACTGGCTATTGTAATAGGGATGGGGGAAAAAGTCTATAGAAATACAGTTGACAATACTGCACTTGGTGCACAGCTAGGTAAAGAAATACAAATTTACTAACTCAAATAATCAAATTTGGCTAAACGGGGTGGGATTTAGGAACTTGAGGATACAAGAGAGCACTTAACGACCTTCTCTAACTTTGAGGCTTAAATTCTAAAATTGTAATCACTAAAATTGATGCGTACGGTACGAACAGACAGACACACAACTAAAACAGTGTTGGAGGCAACGATAAAAGACAGCTCTCTGAAGCGGAAATAAAAACAACTGCAAAAGGTGTTAGTTAGATGGGGTGGAGGGGGAGTAACGTAGCAGATATATGATATATGGCGTATATGGTAATTTGATAACTGACATACTTGTTTTCTAATGTAACAGAAATAAACACAAACAATTGCCCAAAAAGAACAGAAAAAGAAGTAAACAAGTCTTTTTACAAGCTGGTTGGGCTGGCTGTGGCAAGTAGCATTTATTTACTCTTTGTGTTATCAAAAATTGAGTCTCGATTTTCTTGGTACTAAGATACAAAGATCTAGCTGAATGAGCTCTATACCTGCTTAACTCGTGCCACTAACCTGACACTAAGAGCTGATGCGATGCGTTTTACCCTAAAAAGCCTCCAACACATTACTAAAATTTAAAATACTTTATAGTTTCAACCCCTTTACATCAAATTTATTGCTGATAATTAGTCGCTATACAAATTTCCTTCATAGCACATCTGTCGCAAGAAAGCCTGGAAACTGCTGCTAATCAAGCCTTTTGTTAATAGAAGCATTTTAATAAAGCAATTCCAATATCCCCTATATAAAGGTTTTCAACGCGGGCATATAATCTAGAATATGCCATGTGCAGGCATCTTAATGGCTTTCACCAGAAAGTATGTAAGGCTTTAATATTTCAGGGCTCGCAGCTATCACTGGTAGAACTGAAAGAACATCAAGAGGGGTATACCCTAGCTCAAATAATGTTTCTCTACATTAAAAATAATGCCAAGCCTTTCATAGTTTTGTCAATGCATTAAATCTTCAAAGGCGATGGTGACACAGCTGAGTTTTTCCCCACCAGATACCAGAATAAAATATTGTCAGTCATTATTTTACTGACACCGAAATACTACTCATTAGAAACTTTTCAACTAAGAGATCTTGCGATGATCTGAACAGTAATCTTGCAAAAATAACCTTTCGATTACAAAATTCCTTAACTTAAAAGCATTTTGGTGCAGAGTCCTAAAGGATCAAGGGGTTTCTAAATCTGTAAAACTAAGCAGTGCATAAATCGCCAATTTGAAGAAATATAAACTTTCTACCTAACGACGTCAATATCCACCTTTTCGTACCATTTCATTGAATCACAATAAAATAATTGGAATTGAACAAAATATATTAAGCAGATTGAATCTAAATGTATTCCTTTATTCATCAATCTCGATATTAAGCAAGAACGTAATGATATCAATATTCAATTTAAACGAAAAATATTTCCTATCAAACATTCCAATTCTGCGCACCTCGACTTTACAAGTGGATGCGAGTCAGACACCACAATCACCAAGCAAACGAATAATCTGAAAAACACTCAATTATTTCCCCCCTGGCCATCAATTTACCTTGCCTATCAACACACTGACAATAAACTTACAATTTTACAAAAAAATTTAAAAATTGCAAAGCTCAAAATAAATTTGCCATCCATCATTCATAACAATTTGGAACTCTCTAAGAATTCTTCTCATTTTGAGAAGAAATCTAATGAAATCCTAACATAATATTAAAATATTTGTATCATTACAAATGATAGTACTGAGCTGTGTAGCTTGTTAAATTCATATTTCTTTGAAACAATCCAGGGTGCCAGTAACTAACATCAATACAACCCACTATCATCAATATTCAAAATTGGCAAAGTGTTTTGCTGAATACAATTCATAAACCTCTTATTCAAATTAAAATGATCATGTGATGATGCCAAATCGATTTGATTGGATAAATATACCGCGATTTGATTGTACCGCGAGTTACAATTATACTGCTGATCAAGATCAGAAATACTCGTTTGATTGTAAAACGAAAGATATTATTAGATGCTAAAAAGACAGATGCAAAACATTGTTCCGACCACTTCAAGTCATTGGAAAACCTTGGAAATGTGACTTGTGAGTTTGTGGGACGGAAAGCACAACAAAGAGACCAAACAGAGAACGCATTTGATTTTTTTGGTTTGATCTAACACTGATTGAATAATCACTGACAAAAATCCTTCAATTGATTCAAAAACCCTTCAATTTTGAAGTTGAAAAGTTATTTTCTCTAGACAACAATCTAAAAGTGAGAGCGCGAAAAGCAGAAAACTTCAGAGACCAGCTCTTGTGATCTTCCTCTGCGATCCAACGCTTTTTAGCATATACTTATGCAGATTGACAATTGTTTTTCAAATCATCATTTCCCTTGATGATGATCTATGATGATCCCTGGCAGTGATCTATCATTATAAATCACCACCTTTAACATTCTTGTCTGATATTTTGCATCTTCTTTGGCAATAGGATTTATACTCGTATCTATTCTCTAGAAATTCACAGCGTTATTGCAACGGTGGTGTCAAGGTAACAACAGAACGGAACATTTGAGTATATAAATACCTTTTTCATGCAAAGAAGTTACCAATAGCCATTTAGGCCGTTCATAAGCTATCTTCCTTTTGGTCTGGGTAGTTTTCACCTCCTGATGATGATGATGAGCTAGCAGGAGTGCTTCCACCGCTGCCTGTACTGACTCTAAAGCCATTCCCGTTAGGATTGTGTGATAAAAAATCGCCATTGCGTCTAAAATGGTTACGTTGCGGTGGTAACTCGACTGTCATTCTTTTGAGAGGAGCGGGTGGCCTAATCATTCCTTGCTTGAACATGCTACTTGAAATCGTTTTATTGTTTTGACGGATAAAAGGGCCATGCTCTATGATACTTGGATCATAAGGAGCACTATATATCTGATAGACTTCTGGGCGAGGTGGGGCTGGATAAGGTTGTCTAGCGAACTGTCCAGGGATGATATGAACGCTTGGCGGTGGGACAGCATGTACCTAGAAGGAAGAGTAATTTGACAAAAATGGTTACCCTAAAAAGGCTGTTTTGAATTTGATATCTGCATGTATTGGATGACATGTTTGAAAGTATTACAAAATCTTGCATGATATATAAACAAGGGAACCTACCAGAAATAGCAAAGGAACCTTTTTTGAGATACAAACCGATTTGTTTGTTTCCAATTGTCCTATCGAGGAGACTGACAATCAAAGACATTGACTGTAAGGCTTTTGCGTTCTTTTTATACTGGAATATTTTTAACTACGAGACTTAGAAACATTTAACTATAACATCTTGGTGATTATCAGTTCAGATTACATGACCTCAACAAGAGCAGGGCATGAAAACCCACCCAACCATTTGGTCACTTTAGCAAGAAACACCTTTGTTTCTCTTCTGCTCATCAAAAGGTAAAACATGAAGACAAAACAAATGCATCCTATGTATGTGCCTTGTACAGATTAAAATGGCATTTCTACCTAAGAACCCTTCAGAACGTTTCAAAAATTCTTGTTTGATAAAAGTTTACAGTTTTTCATCTGGCTAAAGAATCTTTGTTACAATTTGCAGAATTCTTGAAAATTCTCACAAATTCTTGCTATGCTGATCCTCCAAAGCCATCTACTGTATATTGCATATCACAGTGATTTTTACTGATAAAAACACGTTTTTTCTAATGCTTTTTACAATTGCTTTCTTCTCGGGGTTCTGTCCTATATCTTATTAAAAAGGTTTGTTCAACACTTCCATGGATACAAGGACATCATACGATCAATCTTTTTAGGGTCATTTTAAAATGGTGATTATTTTTACGTCTGCACCCATCACCCTAAGATAACAGCTACCGTAATTTGATCTGCATTTGTACCTTTTTACCTGCATTCTAGCAAACTTTAATATTCTGATTGCAAATATTCTCACTAGTTTGGAGGTTAATGTTATAGCTAGGCCCTCATCCCAGTTCAAAATTGGCGTTCATGAATAAAGAAGAAAACGATTTTTAAGTGGTAGTTGAATTGCTTAAACCTTTGTTGTGTAGTTTTGCCTTCCAGTTACACAAAACTGGTGACACAGTAATACGGTTTTTTGAACCCGACCTTTCTTGGTTTATCTTCCTATTCTTGCAGGAAGTTTATGCATGATTTTTGTCCGGTCGCAGGAAGAATAAAACTACTTTGTGCCCTTAACAGGAGTATAAAGAAAATCAAGTGGAGATGAGCCACTCTAGAAAAAGTCAAGCTACCTGTGATTGAAGTGAAGTGATTGGGTAGACACTCATCTGTGGAAGCTGCGGCTATAATAAAAGACAAAAGATCACACTTGGCATATACTTTTAATCTCATATTAGGTAATAACAGGCTATTGAATTTGCTATGATATCCATGAATTTTAGGGAATGGCGTTGAAAAGATAGTTACAAAACTTGAAAAATGAAATAACTCTCTCTCATTTTGGTCCACTTTTATTTTTTGTCACGCGCAGATTATAACGCTTTTTCTAGGTTTCTTTCAAAAGGTTACTAGCCTCAATACAAGTTTCTTCATTAATCATAAAATTGGTTTAGTCACCAAGCATAGAACATTCCTAGGTTACCCTTCAACCTTGCCTATATGATTCTTAGTATTACGTGTCAACTATTTCGAAAGCTTTTACCTGCCTTATTATTCTCAAAGATCAAATCTAAATACATATCATTATGTAAATTCTGACTGCAATGTAGTATGGAAAGGAAAGACAAATTAATGGTTTTAATGTGAGGTTAAATAGAATAAACAAAAATAGCTTCAATTCGTCTGAAAGTATGCAAGTCGCGAAAACCACTTTGTGTACCTGGGCCTGAGCTACGTAGTAAGGCATGACGTTACCATCACTATAGAAACGACTTGCTGGATCCGGGGTGTTCGTGTTGGGCAAAGCTACGTTTTGAGGAACAATGTAGTGAGTGTAAACTGGACAATTCTGTTGTGGCAGTTGATCTGCTGGGATCAGCTTCATGGGAACAACAGCTGGTGGAGACTAAAAAATTAAAAATGATTTTATCAGCAGACGGATGAGACAAAAGCAAAAGTAAAGAGTGTCGATTTCGAAACAAGTATCAAAGATACATCGTTGGATTGGTCGTTGGAGGGGGTAGACTGTCGCTATTAGGGGGGGGGGGCGGACTGTCACTATGAGGAGAGGGTGGTTCATCCAGAGGAGAGAAACATCCCCGCCTCTCGAAAAAACTCCGTTGCAAAACGAGGGTTTTTTCGCTATCTTGGGGTACTAAGTCGGCAAATTTTCAAATGTGTTGGCCTATTAAGGCTGGCTCACCTATTTTGTCGGCATAAGTGACCAAGAAATTCCTTTCAGGCACCATCAGTGGTGGCTTTAAGGGGGTCTAAGGGGGCCATTGCCCCAGGTCCCGCGCTTATGATAGCCAAAAGGGGCCCCACATCTGAGAAAAAAGATGTAAATTGTAAAGAACAAGGGGCCCCGCAGATGTTTTTGGCTCCTGGCTCCGCAGTCCCTACAACCGCTACTGGGCACCATAGAGGCAATATGGGTTCAACCCTCTTCGAAAAACTCTGTGATTCTGTGTGAATCTTATGAAAGTTACTTGGTGAGATTGAGTACACCAATACGCGATGTGGACTCCTGGCAGGATAGTTCCCAACACTCTGACATTCGATTAATGATTACAGTGAAGAAAGACGTCTTTCAGATTGACCATAGGCCTCTTTTATCTGCCTACGCGATTTAAGATGACAAATACGATTTAGCACTTTTCATATATATTTCAACACCGCTTCAATTGAAAAGCCAAAAAAATTTTAATTGAAGCCAAAATATTGCCTCAGGAAAAATTCAAATTTTTTTAGACGCTCCTTGAGGTCATTTAAGTAAATTAACTTTGTGGGTCTGTAAAAGATAGCGAAAAATAACCAACATCAAAGTTTCAACTGAAAAGTCTAGAGAAGCGAATGTTTAACTAAGGTGGCATTGTTCTGTGTCTATTAAAGTATTATGACGGGTAAAATAGAGCTATCAAGACTTTCCAGAATCACGTTTGTCGCTGAATTGATGAGGCTCGAATGCTACCGCCCGAGGCATCAGATAGTGTCACCTAAAATTAATTATTATTGTGCACTTATTCAGACAGTAAAACAAATGTTTTTCATTTAAAAGTCGGACACCATTCTCGCATAAAATGTACAGAATATATATTCCCGATAGGCCGGGTATTAGCAAAGTAAAAGAACAGGAAGGACAACAACCCCCATCAGAATTATGGTCAGAAAAGAAGTACTGGAGGAGAGAGGGGGAATCATCCGCTTTGCTGTACATAAGATACATACTTTTAAGAATCAGATAACTTGCTCTGTTCTGTTCGATGAGAGAACATTTTCAAAAACTTTATTTTTTCGAAATATCTACCCGAGGCTGAACATGTTCTTACGTTGCTATTATTTTTGGCAAATCGAGCCTCGTTGATATTACAAAGCGTTATTTTATAAAAAGGTGTATAGAAGCTTTGCGTTTTGAAAACTCTTTCAACTTGGTGGGTTGTCCTGCCAACCGGAGACTTTAATTATTTGTTTCAATCTTTCAAAAACTTGAGGGAGAGGCGATTTGTTAGACCCAGAGATAGAAACCTGTTGTCTCACGTTTGTTGTTCGAAAAGGAATTGTACGAGAAGAATGAATTGTGTATTGAGTTATCGATTCAATCTATTTTGGTTAACTTATGCAGGCGGGCGTTTCCTAGCCAATTCTTAAGCCCTATTTACACTTCATAAACTAACCCGGGTTTGCCCCGGGATAATCCAACCCGGGTTACTTTTCATAGTGTAAATGCAACTTACCCTGGTTAACTTTTCAAAAATGTAGTCTAAGCGCGAAACTGGAGCGAGCCAGGGTCAATATTTTATAATGAGCATGCGCACTTCTGTTTGAAACGAAAACGGCCGCATTTCGAACCCAGTTTCGCCCCAGGTCAGCGCTTACACTACAAACCAAAACTAACCCGGGTTAAACTAACCCGGGCTAACGTAACCCGGGGCAAACCCGGGTTAAGTTGTGTAGTGTAAATAGGGCTTTACACACAAGTCTCGCCTGAGACAGCTTAGCAAGCTGGATTTGCAAAGAAGCGACAATCATTTACTTGTGAATCGCCACAAAGGGCCTCGAGGCGCTACTCTTCGGATTCTCTCTAACCATAAAGCACAGCACGACCTCCTGAAAGTCAATCATCTTTTGTTGGCAGATATATGTTTTAACAGATGTTTTAGACATCGAGTGGACTGAATTCAAGGTTACATAGCTTGAGGCAATATCGCCTTCGGGTCAGACAGCATGAGAGGACAGAAGCTTTTAGCAATTGCCACAAAAAACCGGATAAGGACTACTGAGGTGAATAAAACAATGTCATAATCAGATGACGCTTAATGCCTTTGGCACATGTCCAAATGCCATCTTTTGTTCAATGGTTTGTTTGCATGAACTCACAAAATCTTTTAATATCCACAAAATGATTCGTAACTAAGAAACAAAACAATTTTATGATCTTTAAAATGGAAATGGATGTTTAGTTGAGGATAGTGGTCTGGAGAGTGGGCAGGTGAAAAGACTCTCAAAATCTGATGAGCTTTAGGTCCGAGAAGCATCTTTCTGTGCACAAAGACCGAGATACAATTCTTTGTTTGGGGGCGGGGGAACAACCCTGATAGATAAGTGTAACAACAACCATATTTGATAAAATAAGCGTTTTTTTTACTATGCTACTTAAGTTTTCTTGGGGGGGGGGGCAGGCCTGACTTAATTGACACTTTGAATCTGTTTTCTTCAAACATAACTCTTTGAAGCAATAGACAAGGAAAGTTCTATACATAAATATCAACCAAAACAAGAGCCAACAATGGATATATGTTTCCATCTCATCAAATAGAAGTACTTAGATTTCCCCAACTTCAGTTCATTCGTCCAGAGCCTCATCATACTCAACGGCAGTTGTAAATGACTGGAAGTAATGAACTGTAACAAGCTATACGCAAAGCCGGACCTCACTTTGTTTAATCATAAAATGGAAAAACATGCCTTTTGAATGTCAATAAAATATAGAGCTTGCAAACAACACAGGTTAGATGACACGGCCTTAACGTCATGAGCAACTAACAGAAGATAGAAACATTGCAGACAGTTTTCAGATATCAGAAACCTCAATAAACCAAAATGTTCCACATTCCTCAATTCCTGCGTTTCGCATGTAGAATATCAGGACAAGAATTCGATCAGGCAACTGGTAAAATGCGAGAATTTCGAAAAGGCAACAAAGGATGGAAAAAGTATCCGAGCCTGGAAAATGCGTTTCGAGAAAATCTTTAGAAGTTTCTAGGGAAATGCTTTCCAATATTAAGATTACATCAGCAAAATGAGAAAACTCAGCTCAATCAGAAAAAATATGTTTTGCCAATGATGAACCATTATATTATATGGAAAGTATTCATAGAAGCGACAGGCTGATGTTGAACGTTTTCTGATATAGAAAGGTTTCTAATTCATAATTTCTTGTTTGTGTGCCTAAAAAGGTGTACCTTCTCTAGGATTTTCTAATATTTGTATCATTACGGTATTTTGGAAACCAGTTAAATATCAAATACTTCAAGAAATTGAGTTTGCGCACAGGTTAAATCATAGCATACACTCCGGCAAAATTTAACAGACCCCCTAGTACAAATGAAACTGAATACCGAAAATGCACTCCAAAGCAAAATCTGAAAAACAATCATACGTCTTTTTTATACGAATAAGAAAATTTCTGCAGAGGCTCGATGTTTTTTCGACAAGTTAAAGCTGAATGTTCTCAATATTGCTTTTACTTCAAAACTGATTTTTCTAAAACTACAAACTATGAATCGTTTATGTCAAGCTATGAGTGAAGACAAAAAATCCCAGTTGCACACGACATTTGAGTATTACGGTTTATTATCTGATAATGTTATGTTTTCTCACAATGGGAGTAAAATTTTCAAAACATTTACATATTTTTACTTTCTTCTTATTTTTTTCGCAAAATGAGCTTTGGTTTTTTATAAAGTGCGTTCTTACTTAAAAGGAGCTCACTGCCAGCTGCCTATCATACAAGAACCCTGAAATGTAACGTACCTGAGCTGGTATTGCAGGTGGAACATGGGCCACATTCGGTGCACTGATTTGAACTGGTAAAGAGTTGCCCTGTGAGGTTGGTAGGCTCATTTCAGGGCCTGGCATCGAAGGCTGGGTCATCTGGGGCTGCGAGAGTTGTGTGTGTGCCACAGGTGTATGAGGCACTGGAGTCTGAGATGGGGTGTCCTCAGGTGACCCACCATCATGGAAGTACCAAACTCCATTCGGTGCCACCGTGTAACAATAGCCGCTTGGATGAATGTACACACCAGCTGACGTCACTGGTTCTAAAGTTGAAAAAGAAGATAAATCACAAACATTTTTTGACAATGTTTTGAAATGAAAACTGCAAGTTACTTAATTCTCAGCACTATTCGCCGTAAAAGAGTGAATTTACGACGCGAATGTTCTGTCTGGCTTATATTTTTCAAGCGACCGAAAAAAAACAAAAATACCATGAACTCTCCTTCCATACAAATTGCCCACAAGAAATGTGTGTCTGCCAAAATATGTGCACTTGTTTTCAAAATTTGCAAATCTCAAGGAAACAAATAACATAAGATATAAAGTGATGGTACCAGGACTTCCAGGTTGCTTATAAAACAGAAACTGCCAAGATTAAAAATGAGGCTTATCTAGACTCGGTTGAAAAAGTCGCCTAATTGTTTCAAACATTACCTGATTTTATTTTTTTGGTTTGCAAATTGTACGTATTAAAAATTATTAGGATAGATTGCCCAGTCGTTAAATTCACGCTTCAATCAAGTCAACGATCTTCCTCTACTCGCCTCGCCAAATTTTCGTCAGATTATGAGTACAAGAAAAGTCAAAACAAGTTTTTGCTCCCTTCAAAACAGTTAAGCCAACACAATGCATCGATAATTTTAAACCAAATTTGCCACGGACATTGATGTGAAAATCGTATTACAATTTTGCAACAGATTCATAAACTCGGCTTACCATTTGCGGCTTCCTGTGCAGCATTAAAAACAACACCCTAGAGATGAAAACAAGTTTCAGTTGACGATATAAATTAAGAAATCAAAAACAGCATGTCGCTGATAGCAGTGGAAAGATAGTCATATTTTGTATTATCAAGATCTAAAATACATTGTTCCACTTTAGGATAATCATGCTAAAAATTGCAGCCCAGAGATAGAACGGACATCAAAGAAATTCCATTAATCGTATTTAATTTGGGTACACAAGGCTCTCATCACACCACAACTAAAGAAATAAATTTTAACCGACCACTTGACTTGTGATAAATACAGCGTTTACAAGTGGGCATATCCCGTTTCTAACCATACCGGGCAGCGGAATGTCAAAGTTGGGGTTGGATAATGGATGGAATCATACCGTGGGCACGAATCTCGGTTGCATGAAAGTTTCAGGCCACACTGAGAGAGGAGATACTAGCCTTGTAATCATCGGAGCAATAAAAACTGCTTCAACGTTTTTTCTTGTTATCCCACAAATTAGAAAAAGATTATTCTGGGTATCCCGCTTTTTAAATAACAAGTTTAATTTGACTCAAGATAAGGATATGATAAGGAAAGACATGGAGAAAGCTTGAAAAACTTTACTGTCTCTTTTGAATATTAACATTAACAAATGTTATTTGTTAAAATTAATCTCAAAGAGCCTTAATAACATAGTGAACGATGTGATCGCTAAACGATTAACGTTTCTTGTGACAATACTGAAAAGGCCACGAATGAATCAACCCTAAAGTGTGTGAGTCAACACAAAGAGAGGAGAAAAACATTTGCCTTGACAAACACCTGGTTTGCGTGGAATAGAAATGCTACATAAAGCTATCGCAAATATTTTGGTTTAAATCTCGCCGCGATGCAAGTGCAATCAAATCGACGATAAAGCGGATAGGCAATTTAAAAGATGACGTCATATCATTCAATTTGAAAGAAACAACAAAAGACAGCCTGATATAAAGAGTACAAAGAAGGTTGTGTATCGCGGCAGGGCACTTTTGCCAGTTGAGTTAACTAATATTTATAAAACACTTTATCTACTAAACTTACCGTTTGTACCAATACAATGTTTGTAAGCAACATACAATTGTTATGTTATGCTAAACTTAATGATCTAAGGGAATAAACTTTCGCAAAAAGATTTTCGCGTTTTCGCGAACGCTTATTCTGCGTTGTTTCCTGGAATGAAAAATTTGCGAAAGTTCATTCCTGCAAAATTTAAGATTTTTGTTGATTTGAGAAAATTAATGAAAACGATTTTAGGTTTTTTCAGCTCGCAAAAGTTTCGTCCTTTTAAGTGGCAGCAAAAGTGGTTTGTAGTAGATTATAGCACTGAAGTTCTAAATAGGCCTAATTGTTATTAAGCAAATCATTTCTAACATTTAAACTTCTCTGCGGGAAGAAAATGGTTCATTGTGATATATCCAACCTCTGGCTTAGACCGTGTTCACACGGGAATGACTGCATATGTCTCACATGCGTTAACACAAAAACGCTTTAAATCACATTGTTCTGGAACGGTAAGCAATCATTCTGTTTCATTGCGATGTACAGGTGAACTCGTCCTAAAACGGAACGATGGCTAAGCTCTCCTTCGTTTTGCTGGCTGCTTGTATTGTTCGCGATAGTTGCCCAGGATATACAGACATGCGTAAACTCAAACCTAATAGGCCATGCTCTAAGTCATTGAATTAGCCCCGGGGATATATTGGATAATGCAGATATATTGGGTTAAACCAATTGCTGACGGGGCAGTACCTCAGCCAAAGACCGAGATACAACTTTTTGTTTGGAGTGGGGGGCAAGCCCTGATAAATCAGTCTAACAACTGCCATATTTTACAAAATAAATGAATTTTGCTTATGGAACCCCCCCCCCCCCCCCCGGCCCCCTGGTATCTCGGTCCTTTGCCTCAGCCCATGGAAACTTTAGGGTTGGGGCTTATTCGAGGGGAGGGGGCTTATTCGAGGACTTAGGATATTTCGTTGATAAATTACAAACATCATCTTTACACAGAGCGCCATCGCATTGCTTTTCTTTATTAAATACATTGTGCTTGCATTGAACTGAATAAATCAAAAGAAGTAACATGTAATGCATACCTTCTGACGAATAGCGGGGCCTAGATTCAGCTTCTTTTGGTTGAAGAAAACGGTGCCCTTGAGAAAAAGAAGAAGAGCAATTAAAGTAATGAAAGTAATTAAACATCATATATTAACACATTCATCGGTTCCTGTTGCATGGGACTAATGTGTCGCAGCCACTTTGATTCAAAGGAGCAATTTATTGGACAGCTCGTGTCAGATGGTCTTAATGAGTTTCAATTTCACTCTGTACACTGTATAACGTTATAAGTAAGTATCGTCCGTCCTCAGGGCCGTCGTTGAGTGGGGGTATGGGGGGGGGGTGTGACAACCACCCTGTGAAAAACTGGGTAATCAGAGCTCCTTGCTCTGCATACTTCAGATAATTTGCTAATAATAATTATTATTTTTTAAATAACATCATGATGAATTGTAGCTGTGAGATTCTTGTAGATTCCGGTTTCAGCCTGACTGACGTTTCTTATTCTTTCGCAAAAATTTTAGCCTCGCGTGTTTCTTGCTTTGTTGCTGATTTTTTTGGAATGGAATTTTTGTAACGCATAGTAGTGTCTGGACATAATCTGTGCTTTATAAAGTAATGAATGCTATTTTGCTTATCGCTTTCTGTTTTTCGGTTGGGATTCTTTCATTTTTCAATTTTAGCTGGTATTTTATTGCTTGAGTTTTTTTTAATCTCAGCTGCCTTGTTTCTTATGCTGTTCTTATTCTTTTGGGCAAACCTCAGCCTGAAGTTTCTTATTAAGGGCCGTTCTTATAAGAAAGCGTGTCATGACTTGTTTGTTTATGTCATAAATTTTTATGCTACTTTAATATTTTTCGAGTGCAAATAATGGATGCCCGGCTCACTATATCGAGCAAAACGCCTTCTTGCAACCCTGAATCTTCAACAGGAATAGAGAGACAGAAAGACAAAGATAAAAGCGGACTGAAACAAGTAATCTGATTCTCTTTTAGCTGTTTATGCATATCGTGCAAACTGCTTAATATCGTAGTTACCTCCAGCAGCTGAAAACTGGTTGAGCCAGCTACCGTCTTCACACGGTCTAATGTTGTGAAGATCATGCGATGAAAATCAAGAAACCATTTATGATTGACTCTTCTGTTAAAAGCGCTTGTGGCAAGTAACAGGCCTTTAAATTTATATAAAAAACCTTTACAAATCTTCTAATGTTATTTTAAGATTGCGGTTTCAAACTGAGGTAATCTGGAAATGGCCAATGGTCAACATATAATAAGTGCGGTAATTAAGAGGAATTAAGATACACACTATTAATTGCAAAACAATACTTCCAATCTGTTATCTGAACATTATTTTGCCGAAACCAGTGACAAACAGTAAACAGTGCCGTTTTCTATATAAAAACGTTGAAATTGTGTTTTTACGTACAGTATATGCAACATTCAGTTGGGCCATATGGACCAAAACGTGTAGTGCTATAAACAATGGCCATTTTTGCAAAATATCTCAAACACAGTCAGGGCCGTCGCGAGGCAAGCCTCGTTGGGGCGGGGGGATAGATTGTACTACAAATTTACCTGATTAAAAAATTATTGCCTTAAACTCTTTAACTTCTGTCACAAACCTCTGCAATACAATTTGTCAATCTACCTCTGTATATAATTCGCAACTTTCATTTTTATATGATAATAACGGACTTTCCTAATAGTTTTCTCAAATCTGTGTATCGAGACAGGCAAAGGATATAGTTACTACCCGAGGCGGCACCATGGTTGCCGCCGAAGGAAGAGGACATTTTCGAATTTTGATGCTTCTAGTTCGCTGGAAAATGCACTCTTTTAAGAAAATTTCATTAAAGCAATCCTCCTAATCCTATTGAAAATTATTATTATTTTGCAAAAAACTTTTACAGCAGATTAAAACAACAATTTCGCCGTGGTCTTGAAAAATACCAGGTTGTCTGGTTATTCTAATGCTTGGTAAGAAGCACCACTGGTTGTCAATTTAGATCACTCTTTCCATCTTAGCATGCCTTTTGAATGTTAAAAAAAATCTGGAGCTCATAGTGAATTGCAGTTGACGCTCCTACAGAGAAACTCTAGGAGAAATGGACACAAGGCACAATTTTAAGAGGGCCTGGATTTTTAGATTTATTGCAAACAAGCAATCTTCAAATCTTCGAATCATTAGTTTGTTTACCTTCATTCATATCAAGGAATATCATATTTAACCAATGGAGCAACTACCTTTGCTTGATCCTTTATTGATTTTATGACATGAAGGACTCTGAAATACCTAAAGCGTTTCTTCAACCGAGCGGATTTTACCTGAAATTTCTTATTGAGATACAATTTGGGGGGTGTGGCACCCCCTACACCCCCCGGTAAGCAAAATTGGTATTTTGGCATTGAAAGAGTGTGACCTCCTTTGGTCCTCATAAACACAGCACAATTTATCAAAATCATGCGCAAAACAACATAACTTATTTATCTTTGGAGAGGAGATTTACTTCGCTGCCTGAATGCATGCACCAACTGTACATTTTGTCAGCACTTGGTTCACAACCCAAGGACTATTTTGATACAAACCCCCCTCTCCGGCAAGGCTTTTTGTCAATCGTCCAGCTCTTTTGACTACAGCTAGTTGACAATCAGCTCCCCGTTTAGCCCATTTATATAAAAACATGGTAAGTTTACCAAATGTACCTGGTGAGTTTAAGAGCCTTTTTTAGGGCTTGATCACTCCACATGAAAACAGTACTTTTGGTTCTGTTTCTGTGGGTGTTCCAATAATACCCAATTCTCTCCTAAGGCTGGGAGTCTGTAATCTGTAAAAATAGCTCAACATATATTATATTACAAATGAGTAAAACCACGTGTTTTTGGTTAACGTGTAGCCACTGCACATTCAGAGACAGAAGAAACAATGTAACAACATGTAAACATGCATGGAAACAAACACCGGGCACTGGTCTTTCAAATATTTTTTTATTACATCATATTATCAACACATGTATGCACACGAACAAAGGCTGCGTGGAAATTCATATATTGCCGAGCAGGCAAGCAAGGAACATGTGGACACAAACATTAACTACCAAAGAGGTTAAATACAGCAACACATGTTAATTATCTACTGGAGCCCTGATCCTGTGCCCTGACCAAACGGTGGAACATGGATAAAACATTTGTTGCACAGACTTGCATACCGAAATTCAGTGAATGGTCAAAAGATGCAGCATCTCGTGCAATATTTGATCATTTTTTTAAACAAACAGAAATCGAATCACATGGATTTCCTGGTGTCTTTAGTAAGCTTTATACTAAATACCATTTCAATCGACCCATATCGAACGAATTGTACTTGTAATTATAAGAATTATTAGGCTAAAATTGTATACCGTATTTCCTCTAAAGAACCCCGCGGCGTTTATTACAAACTCCAAATTTTGAAGGCGGCGTTTATCAGAGGGCGGCGTTCAATACAAAATGAAAAGTTTGTCAAATAAAAAATGACAAAAAAATGCGATGAGAAAAGATAAAAAGAATTTCAAGTCAAGTCAAGGAATGTCAATATCCCTGTCTCCGTCAGAGTCCTCGTCTCTATGAGATAAAAATTTTTATGGCTTTCGAATAGTAAGCTTATAAACGATTCCTTACTTCTTGTTTGGTGTGTTTTCTAATAAACGCCGCTTTTCAAGATGCGGCGTTCAAAAGAGGACGGCGTTTATCAGAGGGCGGCATTCTTTACAAATGGTTGGCTGAAGGTGCGGCGTTCAATAGAGGGCGGCGTTCATTAGAGGAAATACGGTATGGAAATGTTCCAAGAAACAATTTTACTTTTGATCACTGACAAGATTTGCAGATAAGGACCTTAAAAGTGTACTTCTGAACTGAGTTTCCCAAAAAAATAACAGGAAAACCAGTGGAAAGTAATTTAACAAAAGGGACCAGAAAGTCAAAAGTTGTTTGTTTTATTTGTCCATCTTTAAGATGGAAGGTGCAGTCTGTACTCGAGTCTGTAGAGCCAAATCATCCCAAATGGGTCACATTTTTTTTTTATAAGAACAATTATATAAGAACACGAGCCTCAAAACTGGTCAAAAGTTAAGAGCAAATTAAGACCAGGGTGAGGCTGAGCTTCTGCAAAATGCAACTTTGAACAACGTCTTTTCTCAAAATCGAGGATTTTTAGCGATATGTGGGTACTTTTTCGGTGAATATTCAAATTTGTCAGCAAATTAAGGCTGTCTCACTCCTTTTGTTGGCAAATGAGGCCTGAACACTGCTTACACCTTATTAATTTAAGAACAAATTAAGAACAATCCAGCCTCAGATTTTCGAAAAAATTAAGAACAGTCAGCCTGAATATACTGGTTCTTATAAAAAAAATAGTGTATTCTCGTCAATGTTTTTAATCGACCAACTTTGGGTTTTCAAATCAATAACACTGAAATTCCTAAACAGTGAAAACATACATATTCAAGTGCAAAGCAAAGTCCAAGAGTCGCTAAAACCGAAATTGATTTCGAATCTTAACAGGATATGACCCGACGTTTGAACTTCTGGCACCCTAAATATCCCATGGAAAATAAAATTAAAGGCGGCGTGTATAGTCACAAAAGCAACTCAGCACCAACGGAAAATTGTGGTATTGATTCATGCAAAACGGGATATTGTTGGCGAGACAAACTAGAAAAAGTTTTTGATGAGTGAGGCAACCCTCCGTTAAATAGCATGCGCGTGGAACGAAATCATTATAACGCATGCTCATTGACTCCACGACGGAGGTTTGTCTCACACATTTGAAGATTCTCGGTCGTTCCTCTCCGCAACAAGATAAGAGGTTGATTAATCAGTTGAGTAATGCGCGAAAATATGATAAAAATAATTCTATTTTTATCCAACTAAATAATACTAAAATACTTTTTATCAAAAAGTAAAAAATTATTCAAATTTTGGCAGGTCATTGCAAAATTTTCGTGGGAAACCTAGAAGTCTCAATTATAAAGAAGGAAATGGTAAAACACTCGTGCAGAGGGAAGACATGGAGTGATTTTATAGAGAAAGTCTTGGTTTCATCTTTCTGCCAGGAAGAAAGTTAAAAATTTGCCAAACTGATGCAAATTTACTTTAAATGACCAGGAGCAGGAATTTTCGAAAAAAGGAATATAAAAATTTATCAAAACCCTTTCAAACAACTTTTACAGAAAGTAATGACATCATAAGAAAGTAATGACATTATCAGAAACGAATGACATCAGCAAAAAGTTCAAGTAGAGCTTATAATTTTTTATCTTACCAAATGGTCAATTATTTCTAAATAGGGTGGAATTAACTTCAAAAAACGTGCAAAAAAGAGATAAATAGTGAATGATGAAAAAAAATGAATAGTGAAACTGGGATACAGAAGATTCCAATGAAACCATGGTAAGACATTCCAAGAGCTAAAACTATTAAAAGCAAAGCTATTCTTGGTCGTGGGTCACGAACAACAAAAAGAGAATTATCTTTTGCCTGAGTTTATTTTGTGAGAAAGTTGTAATTATTACTAATAATTGGTCTTGGAGAGCATTCTGATATTCTTGGAAACGCAACAACAATAAGGGAGCGATCACTAAATGTGAAATCCAGGTTAACGGGATTTGCGAGATTTCAAATTCTTTCATTTAGCAAAACCCTGTCGCAGAAAGCAAAGGGAGCTCATTTGTTCTCATAATTGCTTCGAAATCAGTACAGTCACCCCAATCTGCTGCTACAATTTTGCTTTGTTTTGAATAACTGGGGAACACGCGGACACTACACTTAATACATTTAATTTTACATATCCCCTTTATTAGCAACCCAGAACTCGAAATTTTCAAATCTATTAAACATGAGTACTGAAAGTATATACACACTTTTTATAAGAACCAATAAATTTAAGTTCAGGCTGACTTTTCTTAACATTTTCGAATAATGAGGCTGGATTGTTCTTATTTTGTTTTTAGATTAATAAGGTGTAAGCAGTGTGATTGCTAGCTTTTTCGCTTTAAGGAGGTGTTCAGGCCTAATTTGCCAACAAAGTTAGTGAGACAACCTTCATTTCCCGACAAGTTTGAATTTTCACGGAAAAGTACCCCTAAACATGGCTAAAGTTCCTCGTTTCTTGAGATAAAACGTTCAAAATTGCATTTTACAGTAGCTCAGCCTCAGCCTATTCTTAATTTGTTTTTAACATTTTTAAGGCTCGTGTTCTTATAAAATTATTCTTATAAAAAAGGAATGTGTTCATTGAACCAAAAAGGAACCCATTTCTGGCCATGTTTAACACTTTCAGTGTTTAGACATACTTTGAATTGATTATAAAAGAACATATGCATTCCTGTTACGGACTTCTTTTGCATCAGGTTTTCCAGCAGAGTAACCTTTACTTCATTTTTATTAACACAGCTTCAAAGTTTACCTTTAGATTGGAGGTTTATTACATAGCACTGCAATTCAAATATTGAGGACATAGAAAATTAAATCTTCTACAAAGTAACAGCTGCTTAAAATAGGTAGGATGTTTGGAACCCCAATCTTTTTGCTAGAGGTTGGGTTTTGTAGAAAAATTGAGAAGCATTTCGGTGCCTGGGTGATTGCAAAATAGAGTGGATTTGAGACTTTCGTTGCAAATAGTTTTCTATTGTGTCTTAGTTTGTCTAAAAGATTTGTCAATGTAGCGTCTTTCCTTCAGCTGTGCGACAAGAAATGCCTAGCAGAGAATGACGTTGGTAGAGGATTCCTCATTTGAATAACAGTCTTTGGGGAAGAATGGCGGAGATAAATAGGCCAACGGAAGGGTAGGGTACGTCGCCCTGATTAACAATGAAAACAAATTTACCAAGATACCATGGGGTTTGCGTGTCAGGATTACGCGCTCAAAAATTACATGATAGAAATTTTAAATAAACGGAGTCACGGAATGTGAACCAGAAGAAACAATGGTATGAAATTGCTTAAGACGATGACATGAAAGACTTAAATCAATACACATGATTCGTGACTGGTTTGCGAAAGCTGTAAACAAGGCAGGTTGTCCAATTTGCATCACGTTTGGTCTTCTATTAGGGTAAACACCAGCACATTATGATAAAGCTCCCATTCCAACTCTCGATTGAATTTTCAGTGAAAACAAAGGTTATGGAACCAAGAGAAGCCGGAAACATGATCTGGCAATGTTCCCAGCACGCAAAGATGGATTCCAAATTATTAGGTAGAATCCATCAAGACTAAGGCCCCGAATTACAAAGCGGCATAGCATTCGCTATAGAGAACAGGAAGAAGACCAACACAGCATAAATTGTGAAAAATAGCGAATTTCCGATTGTATAACTAAAGCAAACGAAAGAAAACGCCCGGAAACACTCAGAAAGCCAAAATCGAGATTTCAGAATGCCAGAATGTCTAGATTAAAAGGGAAATGCCGCCTGTGAGAAAATATTCATTTAGATGCAAAAGTGAAAAATGACTCATGTCTGAGCAAGAAAATAAATACATAAATAAATATACCAGCTTTTGAGTCTGTATCGCCTCCTGCTTTGACTCAAAGGTGACGAATCCAAACCTGGTAAAAAATAGAAAATTAAATAAGATTGTGAGGTAATAGCCATGAGCATCTGGTTTTAAGCACATTGAACGGGGTTTATATGGCTTCGCTTACATATCATTTATTCATAATTGGGGGGAAGGGGGACTTAGTCATGTATGTTTATGTTACCAAGGCTTGGGACTCTAAATATCCATACTGGGCAATTAATTTTGTTTTAAAGACTAAGAAAATGGCAAAAAATCTCCTTAAAATACCAGAAGAATATTTTTAACATATTGAATCTTTAGGATATCCTGTATTTGGGTAGATCTATATTCAATGAATGGGATGAACCATTTTATACGGCATTTCAGTGCGCATTGGTAAAGAGGCGGTTGTTCAGCTTCTGTAACATGAGCTGCGGGATTTGGTAGAATTGCGTTTATATCCCCTCGGTAAAGGATTGAAATTAACAGACAAGTATAATGCTTTCCAAGCAACTGTTGAATATACGTAGCAAAATCAATGCCCAAACGGGTTCACCAGTTTGATGATAAACCATGTAATTGATTGTCGTTGCTTCATTTTTATGCTTCCTGTCATTTGAGATGAACACGGATAATTGCTTTGTTATATTACCAATGCAAGGTAATTTCGAAACCTTAATCACAAATTCAAAGCTCAAAGACAAAGTGTCTTCTCACCCGCGGCTGAAACCATCTTTGTCTGACACGATTTTACAGTCTTTCACTTTGCCATGCTGTTGAAAAAAGTCCCTCAGCTCCTCTTCCTTTGTCTGTCAGACAAAATCATAACAAAGTCAACAAACTCTATACTTTACTAAGATTTGCCGTGATATGATAATTCAAAACCGATTGAGAAACTGCCAAAATTGTATTGCAGTCTCTGAATAGTATCTGCTTCAAATCAATCTTGTAAACATGAAAAAATATGTAGAAAATACGCAGAAGGGAATGTAGTCAGCCGAGGTAGATTTCTTGGTAACAAAAGCTTTTTGAGGGAGACAGTCTACAAAACTTTCATTGAATTTTTTAATTAACAGTTCATTTTGACTCTGTTTAAACCTATAGATGTAAAACTTACCCAAATGAAAACTACTTAACTCGTTCTTGTAAACAAATAATTTAGACACAGCTTCAGTTTTTTTTCAGTTTAAATAACTCTGGCGGAGATGTGCGTCAACGATATGAAAATAGCTTGGATTCGATCCAGAAACCGGTATTATGAACACACGTGAAGCAAATTAGGACTAAATGCACTTGTTATTCAAACTTTTGGAGCAAAATATAGCCTAAAATAAAAGCCAGTAAGATAAAAAGAACTTAAAGAAGGGTTGGCATTTGCACTCTTTCTCTAAAAAGCTAGAAAAATTTCCTGGCGGTCAAGACAATAATCGTGGCTTGTGATAAGACCGCGGTAGAATTACTTGTCACCCAGCTTGAAAATCGGGCTACCTAGAAGCCTGAAAAATCCCTAAAATCTCCGCTATCGTGGATAAATGAATCGCTTTCACGGCACAACTGGATACAAAGATTCCTGGATATCCTGCAAAGTCATCCCCGGAAACATCTCTTCCTTTTTCCAAAGATCGGAATAAACAAAGGGACAGGGCCTAAAATGAATCGCGGGGCAAGGGAAATCCACGCCGACCCTTGAAAAGCACTTGAGTTTAACTCATGTATTTCCCACTGTCAAATAATATTGGGAGGAATTGGTTACGTTCACGTGCTGCATTGTTTTTAAGAATAAGATGACATGTTATTTGAGCATGATAAAACACAATTGAAATTCTTACGTCAAAGGCTATGCCACCAACAAAAATTCTGTTTGGGATCTGCACGCCATACTTGACAACATCAGCCTAGAAATTGACATAATAACATAAAATCTATCACAATGAGAAATAAAACGAAGCCAGATCTATGTATAATGTCAGTTTTCGTCTGGAACTTGCGACATTTATCTCGAACATTGTTTATCTAAAAAAACCAAAACTAATGATGTATTTCAAGCAAACCAAAGATTATGTCACTGAATTTTTGGAGGTACTGACAACATAATAAAGATAACTCGTTATATAATAAATAAAAATATCTTTCATAGCTCTACATACCATAATGTGGCCTCTTATATTTTGCAGGGCCAAAAGCCGCCGTTATATTTCCTTAGCTGAGATTTTCATGCACGACCAAAGAGATTTCTGCCCCATTGACAGCACGCTATCGAGAATTGTTAACTTGCCACTCCAGCATCGGATTTTGTCCTGTCAATCAATCCACAGTTTTATAAACCCTTTGTTTTCGAGCAATTTTTCTAAATGTCAAGTGAAAATATTTCTCTGGGGGATTCACTTAACAACTTCTCTTTGTCTTGAACAACAATATATCTCCTTTGACAATACAAAATGCTGGTCTCCCAAGAGCAACAAACGCAATTGATAAACTTTAGCTGGACATGAATAATCTTCGCCTTAAAGCCTTTACTTCTGATAAAACACAACTCGTGTTTTGATCAACCTTGAGGTAGCCAATAATAAAAACAACGTATCCCAAAAGAGTGTCAGCGCTTGTCTTTGCCTGCTCAGTGTTCAGGAAACCAAACGCACGCAAAACAGCACGTGGCTATTATTCCATTCAAATGAATCACACGGCATTTTCTGTGCGCCATCAGCCAATCACTTCCCGTGTATCTGTGGTCGTCATAGAGGGGATACCCTTTTTAACTCAACATAGTTCATCCAATAGAAATCTGCTCGAATTAAAATGAAAGGATCTCTTATTGCGTTTCCTTTCTATGTCTTTGTTCTGTTGTCCGCAGAAGATGCAGGTGTATCGTCGGAAACGTATCCCGTTTGATCATATGTGATGTCATCTTATCCTGAAACGATACTCTTAAAAACAAAACTATTCACATAAAACATATTTTGAATAAAAGTATAACAAACCCAGCAGCTTGTTATAAATGCTAAAATAATCATGTTTGGATGGTAGACGAATACCTTAGACATTGAGGAAGATCCTGGATTTTCACCTACCCAACAGTAAAAATCTAGTGTCGACTGAAACAATTTTCAGAAAGGTTATTCCTCGATCTTTTCATGAAACTACCAATGAATGAAATCAAAAATTACTCAAAGTGAAAATGTTTTTCGAGTTTCCTCAACTGAAGTAACATTTAACAATTAACGCTGATGATGCTGCAGCTATGAAGTAACACTGACACCTTTAGAAGTATGTAAGTGAGAAGGTTTTTATCAACGTTGTCTAAAGGCGTGAATGTTATTTTACACTGCCTTGTTTTTTTACCTCAGGTCCACTCTTTTCCAAATGATCTAGTCGAATGTCTTTCCTCTTGATTCAAGGCTGATCTGTTAACAACCCTGGCTGGTATGAGCGTTGAAGTTAAGTTACTATGAAATTGTCTCTTGCTTCCTTGAAAGTTCCTCTCAAAAATTGAGGATGGAAATAAGGTATCCCAGCAGTAGCATAATAAGGGGTGTGAGTACCAGGGGGAATACCCTCTCTCCTCCATTCGTTTGAGAAAATGCCCCTTTTTTAAAAGTGTTCTCTTTAAGATTTTTGGAAAAGTGCCCCCTTTTCTGAGAAAAAGTGACCCCACCTACCTTGTGACCCACAGGCTGTAATATTCACCAAAGTTCTGGTGATAAATGAATTTGGTAATGCGCACATTAATTATGAATAATAGCCAAGCCGAGGGGCGATTCACTCTTGCAAGTAGCGTACGAGAATTTGCCTAAAACAAAAGGATTTTTGGGGATTTTCAGATAAAACAATAAGATTTTCACGAAAGGTGTACGAGATTTTCTTAGAGTGATTTGCCCCTCGAGCCAAGCTACCCTTTCTAAAATTCTTCATGTCGAAGAAACACAATACCAAAGATTTTGACTTTCTTCTTAATAATGATTTAAGAATAATTCACCACTCAGAATCACAAAGGTTAAAGAATATTGAGTCCAACAACAATTAAGGCCTAGGTTTAACGTCGCTTATTCATGATCTGTAATTAACATGTAATCATTGTAATCATTTTACAATCAACATCCTTAGTTTTCTGCTGTCATAACTTGCCTTGTTGATGCATTTTGTCAGTGTTTACATTGAACTTCTCAGATTAATCTTATAATTAAATGCCTTTTCTGGGTTTTATTATAGATTATACCTACAAAAGGCATTAAATTATACAATTGACAAATAATGAATAAAACGAAGCTCTGAATCATACTACCATAAATCATTTTTCAGGTTTCATGCATAATACAGAATTTACTTAATAAAGAACTAAAAAACAACATTATGTGCTACACATTAAAGGTTTTTGCTGAAAAATGGCAGTTTACCTCCTGCTTTTACAACAACAAGATGTAAAAGCAAAGATATAAGTTATAATTTTTTTCGCTAACTAGGGAAACCTGAATTACAGAAGAATCAGTTGAAGAACTTCAAAAGGGTTTTGAAAACGACGTGAATTTGAGCCAAGTCTTAAAAACATAGATATGAAAATAATTTGGCTAAACTATTAGTCACTGGGCCCTTGTCTCTATTTCTCAACCATACGCTTACGAACTCTCTTAATATCAGCATCCGTTCTTAAACAACAATACTTGTTTTCCCCGGCACTGAAAGTAATATTTTGTTGATTTGAATCATATATCAAATATTTAGTTGTTTATATATCACTTTCAATTTGTCCCCTATTGGTTACCCTTACAGTGTTAAAGAAGGATGACAATTAAATAATAATGTAACTTATATCACTCATAAGAAATTATGGTTACTTATCGAATAATTTGGTATTGAAAGCTTTTGAATTGATAAACACCAATGCGTGTCCAAAACACACGCAATTTTGGTCCAATTTGGAAAATGATAAGTTTTAACATTTGAAAAAGAAATCATAGTTCAGCAAAGTGCGATTAGTTGATAAGATTAATAGTAAATCAAAGTCTGATATCTTAAAACTCTAATATACGATAGACGAGAAACGGCCTTCACGCTCGACTTATAGCCCTGTTTTGTTTTTGTTAATGTGTAAATCTTATTACTGTTTCAATTCAAAAGCTCAATTTGGTCTCTACCCCTGAGTTTTCTGAAGACGCATTCCTTACATTCTGCTCTCACAGAGTTCTTCAAATGTGACGTCATAAAAACACTTTTTGGAATCTTCAATCTTGACCACACATTCTTAAAGAACACCGTGAAATACCTCCGAAACTGCAACATATTTGAGACATGTTAAAATTGGATTGGATATGGCCCATTAAAGCAGAGTATATAAAGTGAAAGAAATTATCGTTGCTCCCGAACTTTCTTTTTATTTACAAAGTGAAAAGACCAAGCCAAGCAATACGTGATTTTACTAAAATCCCATTACTAAGAAAACACTTATTCAAAAGATTGAGGAAAGCCAATAGGACAAAATTTCATCCGGAGGGAGGTTGAGTCGTTTTGTCAACTCTGCATTAAAGATTCATGAGTTTACCTAGGTTCAAAAAGTTTTGAAACCAAATTAAATGATTTGATGGTGAGTGTCTGTGCCCATGTGGCCACACCTAAGCCAATTTATAACGCATTTAGCTGGTTTTGCACACTTAGAATTATTTAAATGCTCCAAACTGAAAATTCTAAAATTGTAAAATTTGTGATGTCATCGCAAGATATCTTTTTGGTAGGATGATAGCTCGGTGACTGGAGGCGCTGACTACACCCGGCCCACCAGTGGCGTGGTGGCAGGGGGGGCCAGGGGGGCCATGGCCCCCCCTGAATAGGGGCGCAAATGGAGATAAGGGGGCGCCAAAATTGTTTGCTTGTAATATTTGGCTAGGAACATCAAAAGTGATCGTACACGGGTAGAACACTCCGCTATAACTTGCTGTGAACAATCTAAAATAACATGAAATTTTACAATCGAAGCATGTTGCGCTGCCATGACCCAATCAACATTTGTTTCATATGTTTTCGTGTTAACTATGTACGTGACTTCATGTTTAGCACGCCAACTAACGAAGATTTTGCGTATGCCAAAAATGTTTTCTATTAGTTTGTACTCGGAACGTCAAAAAGCCGGAGTGTACGCTAAAGATCTTCGGACCCAAGTACATGGAATGCACCCTGGCAATCAATATGGCAGATTCTTGTTATTACCATCGATGTGACCATCACCCTTTCTTTCTTTATCCAACGCATGTATCCTCCCCTTCCAAATTTTTTCTAAAAATCAAAAATCAATTTCTGAGCATCGTCGAACTGTCTATTCTGAGCGGTGTAGTAATTTGTTAAATTTTAGTCTAGGAGATGCATTTTTAGCCATTCTAGAAGGCTTGATTTCAAAAATTTCCTTCCGCGTCGGACCCAACCATGGTGGGTCCTCCTTTGTCACTAAACTTGATCCTTAGCCCAACCCCAGATTCAATTTTGTGCTCGCCACCTCTGTCCGATTCAATAGTGCGATTCAATGCTTGAAACTTTCAAGTTGTTGAAAAACTACTATTTAATAACTACTAAAGAATAACAAACTTGAACCATGTTTGTATATCATACATCATATATGCGATGACACTAGGCTGATAAAATCGAACATAAGCAGTGGCGAAATGGACAAAGGTTACCTTTAGTTAAAAAAACTAAGGAGCCCGAAACAATAATTTGCTCTACGTTATTTTACTCTGAAGCTGGTATTCTGGACATAATAAACGAGTAGCCTAAGCCAATTCAAAAAAGCTTGATATTTTACCGAACAACGAGAAGGTCAAATGTTAGGATTATATAACTTTTCCATTCATATTCGCATTTTTAGTCAAACCTTATTTATTAAATTTTGGATTCAAATTGCAAAAAACGATATCCCTTCTAGAAACACATGCTTTATATAACCACGATATTCTGTGACGATATATAGAAAGGGCGCAAAAATCGACTTGGCCACCCCAGGGAAAACATAGCCACCCCGCCACTGCGGCCCACGCCACTAATTTGAACAAGGGATGCAAGGCTTCTTTCAAATTTTATTGTAGCTCATGGAGTTAAAATTCAAGAGTATGGTTTTGAGAAAATAAAGAAGGTTTGTGGACTTAGCCTCCTCGTTCCTGTCGATTCACCCCCTGAGGTACCATGGGTACCAGAGCCACAAAATTTCGATAGCGGAAATAGAAGTCAGGAGTGGAGAAGCGGAGGAGCGTCTAGCTAAGAAGAAGGAAAAGTTTTTTCTTCACTTTTCCTTTCCCTTCAGTTTTTACTTTTCCTCCAGCTAGATCCTCCTCCGCTTCTCCACTCCTAACTTCTATTTCCGCTCTCGAATTTTTGTGGCTCTGTTTCCCAGGTGGACTTGCTACAAGTCTCTCTCTATCCAATTTTTCCTTTTCTATATTTTTCAGATTACTAAATGAATAGAGAGAGACTTGTAGCAAGTCCATTTCCCAGGATACTTTTGAGGCCACGCCTGTGTAGCTCGTCACATTGCAAATGATTGAGTTCACAGCGTTTGACTTTGATTTAACAAAAGCGAAATTGGCAATGGAGCAGAGCAATTCTACTACGGAACGCTACCAATGAGGGTCACTTCCATGCGGGGATGCAGTGCTTTTAATAGAGCAAAAGGGGCTCTCACAAAAATTATACCACAAAAACGGGAAAAGATTAATAAATGTAATTAAGAC